TTTAGAAGATGGGGGGGTTAGAGGAGGGAAGGAGGAGGAGGGGAGGGGGTTAGAGTTTTAGGAGGGAAGGAGGAGGGAGGGCGGGTTAGAAAGTGGTGGGGTGAGCGGGGTTAGAGGAGGGAAGGAGGAGGAGGCAGGTTAGAAGATGGTGGGGGGCGGGTGTTAGGGAGGGGAAGGAGGAGGGAGGGGGTTAGAAGATGGTGGGGGGAGGGTAGAGGGGGTTATAGGAGGGAAGGAGGAGGGGGGCGGGTTATAAGGAAAGACGGTAGGGAGGAGGGATAAAAGAGGGCTAAAAGGGAGGAAGTTAGAAAAGGACGGGAGGGAGGGGGTTGGAGGAGGGAGACTGGGGGAGGGAGGTTAGAAGAGGGAAGGAGGGAGGAAGTTGAGATTTCTTCAAAAGCCCCGGAAAACCTTCTGCAACCCCCTCCCTCCTTCCTCCCACCCCTCCCCCTCTCACAACCTCTCTCTCCTCCTCCCCCCAACCCCCCCACTTACCTTCACATACTCCCCAAAGGGCTTCGTCTCGTCGCCCACAAGCTCCTGCAGGTTGGGCCTCCCCTCCGCCGCCGCCGCCGCCGACCTCCCCATCAGGACGACCTTCGGCGGGCGCTTCAGCTGGGCCAGGGCGGCGTCCAGGACCCCCTCCAGCAGCGGGTCCACCACCATCACGCGCGCGCCGCTGTCCGAGAGCTGGCGGGCGATCTCGCCTGCGGGGGAGGGGGAGTGAGTGGGGGGAGGGGGGAGTGAGTGGGGGGAGGGGGGAATGAGTGGGGGGAGGGGGGGAGTGAATGGGGGAAGTGGGGAGTGAGTGGGGGGAGGGGGAGAGTGAATGGGGGAGGGGGAAGGAGTGGGGGAGGGGGAGTGAGTGGGGGGGGTAAGCGAGTGGGGAAACGGGGAGTGACTGGGCAAGGTGGGGAGTGAGTGGGGAAAGGTAGGGATGCAGAGGAAGGGAAAGGGGAAGCAACACAAAGAGAGATAGTAGAGGGGAGGGAACAAGGCGAGAGGAGGAGAAGGAAGAGAAAAGGGGAGGGGCGAGAACGAGGAGAAAGGAGGAGGAAGAGCAGGAGGAGGGAGGGAAAGGGAAAGAGGGGAGGGGAGAAAGGTGGAGGAGGAGGAAGAAGAAGAAGAAGAAAAGGAGGAGGAGGATGAAGAAGGAAAGGAAGAAGAAGAGGAGGAGGAGGAGTAGGAGGAAGAAGTAGAAGAGGAGGAGAAAGAAATAGAAGAAGAAGAAGAGCAGGAGAAAGAAATAGAAGAAGAGGAAGAGGAGGAGAAAGAAATAGAAGAAGAAGAGGAGGAGGGAGAGAACGAAGCGAAAGGTGGAGGAGGGAAGGAGAGTGGGCGAGGGGGCGAGCAGGGGAGGGGGAGGGGCGAGGGGGGGGAGGGGGCGCAACAGAGCAAAGTTGCAGCGTGCACGAAAGTAACCCGGAGTAGGTCACCTCACCATGAGTGCGCGCAAGGCCAAGGTACCAGGCGCTGAAGGGGGGGGGAGGGGGGAGAGGAGGGAGAGGGAGCTGAAGGGGGAGGGTGGGAGGGGGGGAGGGAACTGAATGGGGGGGAGGGGGCTGAAGGGGGGGGGGGGGAGAGGAGGGAGAGGGAGCTGAAGGGGGAGGGGGGGAGGGGGGGAGGGAACTCAATGGGGGGGGGGAGAAGGATGAGGGTGGGTGGGGTGGGGGAGCAAGAAGGAAGAAAGGGGGGGGGGGAAGAAGAAGAAGACAAATAGGTAGGGGGAAGGGCGAAGAGCAGGAGAAGGTAAACGGAAAGAGGAAAATGAGGGAGAAGAAAAGGAGAGAAAGAGGAGCTGAGAGGAAAATCAGAGAAGAGGGAAAATGAAAGACGAAAATGGGAGACAAAAAGGGTTGGAGAGAAGGGGGGGAGGAGAGAAGAGGGTAACCAAGAGGGGAGAGAGGAGAGAGGAAGAGAGAGGGAGAAGAGAAAG